TTCTGTCCTGGTTGTGGAACAGTGGAGCAGCCCTTCAACCTTGCAAAGTTTCTAAGGGGGTCATGGGAGTTTGCCTCTCCAGTCTGTGTTCATGAGTGATGGTAGGATGGAGCGGGGATAGGTCAACAGATTGGGGCCCTCATCCTCAATAATGAGGACATTGCTTCAGTCAGCTGTAGTGAAGAAAGAACTGAATGAAAGGTAAAGATCTTGATTTACTGGTCTGTCTATGTTACAACCCTCACTTATGGTCATGAGGTTTGGATCATGACCGAAAGAACCGAAATGAGCTTCCATCATAGAGTGGCCATGCTCAGCCTAAGAGATCAAGTGAGGAGCTCAGTCATCCGAGGTAAGCTTGGAGTAGAACCACTGTTGTTTCACATCAAAAGGAGTCAGTTGAGGTGGTTCAGGTATCTGATTAGGATGCTTCCTGGACACTTCCTATAGAGGTTTTTCAGGCATGTCCCACTGATCAGAGGCCCCAAGGAAGAGCCAAAACTTTCTGGGGGGATTGTTTATTTTCTCTGGCCTGGGAACACCTTGGGTTCCCTAGGTGGAGCTGGAAAGTGTTGCTAGGGAGAGGGATGTCTGGGTTGCTCTCCTGGACCTGTTGCCTCTGCGACCCGACTACAGATAAGCAGAAGAAGAAGGAGAAGAGACGTCAAGACAGAGGCATTTGTGTCTTCTTTCACCTAGTGTGTTTCTTACTCCTATAAAATTATTGTTTTATTCCTCAAATATCCCCAGATTCCAGAGAAACTACATAACCAAATTCTCATTAACTTTGATTAATTTTACCACTTTATCTGAGCATGTAGTCTCCTCCTTAAAACTGAAAGCGAACGGTCTTTTAAACTTGTCTTAAAACGCTGTAGGCACATAAAAATGTACGTGACAACCAGAAAATTCTTCCACAAACAGTTCAGGGAGTTTCTCAAATGGACTTCGTTTTCACACAGTGACCATTTGCTTGAGGTTTATCTACATTATGTTTTTGTCTGCCTGTCTTATTAAGAGTGGTGTCAGGAAGTGAGAAAGATGGGTATGTGGTTATCATGGTGACTAGGCCTGTCGCAATAAACAATAAATCACGTAATCACATGATAAATGAAAATTATCAGCCTCATTTTCATTTATCGCCTTTATCGTTTCTTTGTTTCTCTCTTTCTACTGAACACTGAATGATAAGGCTCAACTCCGGTGTTCTTCACTGACACCTTCCTTTCTCTTTTAACTCTGTTTTAACCATCCAAAATTGTGTTTTTGGATCATTAAAAGCAACTAAGCTGAGAAGCAATAGTGATAGATGAAGCTTTTCCTTAGTTTACACATTTCCCAGGAGACATTGATAAGTCGGCCCGTTATCGAGGCCGACCGGAAGAGTCAGATTCAGATAAGCCACAATTTTTTGATTTATTCAGGCAGACTATTTTTTTGTCAGCCTTGAGTCAATTCAATTCAATTCAAAAATACTTTATTAATCCCAAAGGGAAATTATTTTTTGTTGTAACTCGTTATCCTCATTTCATTAAGAGATGTTATGGATGCTGATGGCATTATTGAGTCTATACTGATACTTTCGAGATCTGAAATGGCCAGATTAGGGTACATTCTACTGGTCCGTGCTTACGAGCTCCTCCAAGGTCATTCCAACATGCTGGCGAGTCCCAAAGCTGCAGGTGGCCTGCGGTTCTCACAAATCACTTCCATCTTACGGTTTAGCTCTTAAATCAGCTGATTTTGAGTCCTCAAAGCACAAACCAAACCTTCACATAGGCAGCAGCCTGACCAGGCCGGATTAGCTGCAGCCGTCTTCTTTGTAAGTTGATAAACCAGGATCCAGACTATTCCAAAAACAGGAAACCTGTTATAAATCCAGTTATTTGCAGTTTTGGCATCTTCGATCAACAGCAGAGATAAACACATCACATTCCACTTCCCCAGAGACATATCCAGTTGCATACATGTTGTCCGGGCAGACATGAGGGTTCTCCAGGACCCTGCCACTTTGTTGAAAAAAAAAATTGTCATTTGCGTCGAAAGTCCAGTTGGTCAGATCCAAACCAGTAGTTTTCATTTTGGAATATATGTAAAAATAGGAGCTGCTCCGATACACAGACGGAGAGCAAAAAAGCAGGAGGAGAACAGGCAGAGGGAAGAGAATGCATGCGCCTCGTTTCAGAGCCAGTGAGAGAGAAAAAAGCTTTGTGTGACAGATGCTATGCTAAAGAGCTCAAACCACACCGAGTGTCCACCATTTTTAGAACCGAAAAACGGGAACGAGAGACAGGTCGCGTCACGTCTTCCTCCCATTTTTCTTAAAGAGACACGCTGCTCACTCCCTCACTATCCATTCTTTGGTTCAAACTGTCTTATACTGCCATCCAGTGATCAAAAAAGGTACTACACACAAACATTGAACTAACATTTCTTCTTAAATTTGACAATAATTACTAATTATTGTCAAATTTCAAACTACATTATCGTTTGATCACAATAATTTCTGAGACAATTAATCGCCCAGCAAAATTTGTTATCGTGACAGGCCTAATGGTGACCCCAACGAGCTACTTTGTTTTCTTTTGGTCTTGGAGTGGTCTTTGCACTTTTTAGCGTCACATTTTGTCTGATTATTATAAAAGTTAGTCCCAGATTACTATTAGGGTTCAGATGAGAATGTTGTGTTTTAGGCAGTGGCTGACTTGGCACTTTTCAGTATTTTCTCAGGAATGCTTATAGTTTGTTGTGTCCTCCCCTTCCCAGAGCAGCCCATCATACCTGAGTGAGATGTCAGCCTGCCACCAGAGGGCAGCAGATTGCATAGTGGAAGGAGCCGTAAGGAATGGTGGAATATATGTGAAACTGGGCCAGGGTCTATGCTCCTTCAACCACCTGTTGCCCCCTGAGTACATCCACACACTGCAAGTACTGGAGGACAAGGCATTGAACAGAAGGTACAAGGAGGTCAGAGCAGACCGACAAAGGACACGGTGTGGTAAGAGGACAGGATGAAATGTCTCACGTCCGTGTGTCTCTAACAGGTGGATGCTCTCTTTTTAGAAGACTTCAACAAAACCCCAGAGCAGCTTTTTAAAACCTTCGACTACGAGCCCATAGCAGCTGCCAGCTTGGCTCAGGTTCACAAGGCGGAGCAGTTCGATGGCACTCCTGTCGCTGTGAAGGTGAGCAGCAACTATGAGGCCACTAACCCTGTTGTGTGTCTCCCCCCTCCACCCCCTTACAGGTGCAGTACATTGACCTCAGGGACCGGTTTGATGGAGATATCAGAACATTGGAGATTCTCCTGGACCTCATCAAATATATGCATCCTACTTTTGGATTTCGATGGGTGCTTAAGGTCCAGACAGAGTCAGAATTGTTCCGTTGACTCCGTTTTTTATTGTTGTCCTGTTTATCGTTTCTTCTGTCTGGTTTTTGGGCCGTCGACTACTTTAATATACTTTCATGTATTTTAACCAAACATTCAGCTCGTTCTGGTCATTACAGCTTTGTTTTGCATCTTTCATACTTTTTTGAATAATTTCCCATTACAGTAGTCCCTCGTTTATCGCGGAGTTTAGTGACCACCCTCCATCCATGCAGCATGGATTGTTTATTTAAAATATTACAGTATTTAAATTTAAATTGTAGAGGAGAGAAGCACAGCAGGACAGCAAAGGGTTAACCTTCACACAGCTCTGCAGCACGGAGCAGTAATGTACTTCTTGATCAATTACACTGAATCAACTGAACATAGAAGTTCTAAATTAATTAAAAATAACTTTTAACACTTTCATATTTTGTGATTATGATGATTTTACAATGTGACATACTTTGAATTGTAAGTTGGAAGACAAAAGTCGATCGGTGCAGCTGGATAGCAAAGGGTTAACCTTCACGAAGCTGCTGCAGCTGGAGGAGAAATGTGGGCGTGGCAGAGAGTCGCAGGTGGCAGAGAGCAGAGATCATGACAGGCTGCAGGAGGGAGCTGCTCCCTGCACCTAATGATTTAGCAGGTGCTAAATTATTTTAAATAAACAGTTCCTGCCACTCGTGCAGCTCACCCATCAATCAGCCACCTGTGTGTCATGTCCAGTCTTACTTTGAAAAACTGCGAAAGAGCGAGTCCGTGAAAGTCGAACAGCGAAGTAGCGAGGAACTACTGTATTTACAATTTTTTTTATTATTAAAATGCTTTAAAAGCTTTTCAGGTCTTTAAAATTCGGCTATGTGATCTACTTCAGCATGCTTGCTTCCTTTTTAGCCTTTAGCAATTGTTCTGCTAGTTTTATCTTATAACAACTTTTTTTTTAATAATTTTAGCTTTTTAATTACAGTTCAGAAAAAATTAGCTTTAAGCTACTGACTATTCTAATAATTTTAGCTTTCCCCTCACTGTTTTGCTCATTTTACCTTTTAGCTTCTGTTTTGCCAATTCGAGCGTTTGGCTACTGTTTCTGTTTTAGCTACAGTTTATCTAATAACAAATTTTAGTTAATGTTTTGCTAGTTTTAGCCTTTACTGTTTTATTATTTGTATCTATAGCTACTGCTAGTTATTTTAGCTTTTAGCTGTTTGTTTTTTGTTTGTTTTAAATTTTAGCGCACACCTAATAATTTTCTTTTAGCTACTGTTTTGGTAATTTGAACTTTTTACCTATGGTTTCAACAGTTTTAGCATTTTGCTACTGATTTGTTTATTTTAGCCACTATTTGCTGGTTTTAACGTTGCTCTACTGTTGGATCTTCTTACAATTTAGCTTTTGCTTCGTTAATTTTTGCTTTTATTTGTCTTAATTTCAGCTTTTTGCTTTTGTTTAGCCATTTTTGTAAGTTTTGTTCAGATTGTTTTACTGGTATAGTTTCAGCTGCTGCTTCAGTAAACGCCAGCGGTCCTCAGGGATGTTTTAGCTCATGTTCTTGTTCTGTTTGTCTCTGCAGGACCTGAAGGCCACTCTGGCTCAGGAGCTGGACTTTGAAAACGAAGCCAGGAACTCTGAGAGGTGCGCAGAGGAGCTGAAGCACTTTAATTTTGTGGTTGTACCTAAAGTGTTCTGGGAGCAGACGAGTAAGGTGAGGTTTGTACCTGCTGTAAAGATGACTCTTCCTTCTGCCTGAGCCTCATCTCCTCGTTCCTCCAACACAGAGGGTGCTGACGGCAGAGTTCTGCCACGGTTGCAAAATCAACAACGTGGAAGAAGTTAGGCGTCAAGGATTAAGTCTGAAAGATGTAAGGCCATCAGTCCACATGAATGACACTTGAGATAAAAACTGCTAAATGAACGTCATGTGAAGCAGCACGGTGCTCGTGTTTGTCTCTCAGACTGCAGATAAACTCATCCGAACGTTCGCAGAGCAGATTTTCTACACGGGTTTCATCCACGCAGATCCTCATCCTGGAAACGGTCAGTGGAAAACAGGAAGTGGAAAACCACTTTCTGAACCTTCTTGATTACAATTCATCCTCCTGTTGGCAACAACGTTAGAATCGTTAATGAATCTTTATTTATGAGCTTTAAATCTTTATGAACCTTGAAAAATAAAAATTGCATTTAGAAATAAAGCTAAAGACGTATTTTTTACATGAGGAGCGACTCGTTCCTCCACATTTTGTGTTGCAGTTCTGGTGAGACGAGGTCCAGACAGGAAGGCTGAGCTGGTGCTGTTGGACCACGGCTTGTACGAGTACCTGAGTGAACAGTAAGTGCTGGATGAGTCCGTTCCATACGTGCCCAATGATTGATCACAGCTCTAACTGACCTTTGACCTTAGTGACAGAGAGGCTCTGGTAAACTGTGGCGGGCCATTGTCCTGAGAGACGACGTGGCCATGAAGAAATACTCGACGCCCGGGGAGTCTCAGGTGAAGAAACTCTATGTACATGAGATTATATATACATATAAGTACATAAAATCACAAATGAAGGTTTGCCTTTATACTGTAGAGCACTTCCTGTTCTGCGAGATGCTGCTGCAGCGCCCCATCAACATGAGGACGGTGGGCCTGTCCAACATCCTCAGCAGAGAGGAGACGGCCTACATGCGCCAAATGGCCCTCGAGCGCTTTGGGAACATAATGCAGGTGCTGAAGTCGATGCCCCGACCCATGCTGCTGATCTTCCGCAACATCAACACAGTCCGCAGCATCAACATCACGCTGGGAGCGCCCGTGGACCGCTACTTTGCCATGGCCAAGAGGTCAGTGCAGCTGCTGCTGATGTACAGAGTGCGGCGTGTACTTGACTCTTCTAGTTTGCTCCTCCTCGTGCCCATACTTTTAAAATACTGAATTAAATTTAGAAACATTTTCCACATGTAAGTTAAATTAAGATCCCTTTAATTCCTTCAAAAACTGTTTTTAAATCAGCTTCAGCATTCTTACATTAGTCTTTTCTTCTGCTACTTTTAGCTAGCATTTCTTACGTTTAGCTAGTGTTTTACTACTTTTAGCTAAAGTTTTGCTACTTTTAGTTTGTTTTTTCCACTTTTAGCTAGTATTTTGCTAATTTTAGTTTTTGCTTTGCTTCTTTCAGCTGGGGGTGGGCAATATGGCTCAAATATAATATCGTGATATTTCAGAGCATTCTAACGATAACGATAAATTTAGTGATATAACAAAAAATAAAACAGAAATCATAGTTATTCATTTGACAAAATTAACTTAACATGTTTCTTTGCAGTATTATATACAAACAAGAAGGGTTAATTTAACTGAAATTACTTTACTTAGTAAAGTACTCAGTCTCAAAGTATAAAAATAAAAAAATAAAAATGATCCTTGTTATTTAGATTGAAAAAGTCTGCACAAAATATAGAACAGAAAAAAATCCACCACAAAACCTAAAGTGCAGGTGAAGTTTCTCAAAGTTTGAATGGCGAGGTGGGTCTTTATGGAGCTCCACCGCCCTGCTTGACCTCGACACTCGTGTCTTCTCTTCGTGTTCAGCAGCCAGTCCACTCCAACGTTTCAGCCCAAACTAAAATCTCTGACCAGCTGAAGTGAGAAGTTACTTCAGTTCAGTTAGATCATGTGGATCACCTGCTGGTGGAAACATGCGTGTTGGATTTACACTGTTGATTTGTTTGTGTTAGTGCGGTGCGCGGCTGGGGGAAGATCCAGGCAGAGAAGACGGGGATCCTGCCCAGACTGAGGATCTTCAGCTGGTGGAGGACGACGTGGGAGAGCCTGAAGTTTGAAGTGGCTTTAAGGTGAACAGCTCATCTTCAAACCTGAAAATAAAAGACAATTCTTACATTTAGTTGTTAAAATACATCATTTTCTTTATTTTAGGTTTACGAGACATTTAATTAAAATCCTTAAGATCCAAGATTTTGCTTGGCTGGTGAAAATATAAAACGTTTTGTTATTTTTGATCAATTTCTTGTGAGAATAATCTTGAGGTGTGCATTTTCACAAATGATGAGACAGAATGTGAAGAAGCGTCTCTGTCAACCAGAGGCTTCAGGAAGGATTCAAACCTCCTCCATTTTTGTAGTTTTATTATTATTAGATGTATTAGAGCCCGATGCTACGATCATTTAATCCATTTTTTTTTCTCCAAACCTAAAATACAAACACCCTATAAAAAAATGAAAACAGATTTCATTTTTTTTTGGTGAATTTACTCAAAAGAATAACCTAAAATATCCCAGTTGACACCTTCAGCACTTGAAGTTCAGCTCAGGTTGTCCTGGTTTCTGCTCAGATGTTTTTTAGTTTGATTGGAGGATTTCAAATGATTGGACATGATTTAGAAAGCTCTCTGTAAACGGTCTCTAAAGTCCTGCTGAACTGAAGGTTCCTCCGAGCTCAGTGGACCCCGTGACTCCTGAACAGAAGAAGTTTGGTACCAGGACTCAGGAGCATCAGCAGCAAAACCCCTGATCCACTGACCTCAGGACCTCAACACCAGATAACTGAAGGTTCTCGTCCCACATGACACTAAGCCAAAGCACAGAGAAGAAACACAGCAGTGGTTTGGAGTAGGGCTGGGAGATATGTCAATGGTTTTAAAATATCAATATAATTTTATTTGCGATATAAATTGACATTATTTTGATATATGATATAGTTATATTTGAAAATCCGCCTGTTCGGCTGTCTTCTTTCTTCCTCCACACGGCCGCAGTAGCAGCCACAGAATGGAGAGGGAGCAAGTCGCAGAACTGGTGAGCAGAACAAAACAAAGTCTGTTATTTGGAGATGGTTTGGATTTAATTTGTCAGATGAGCAACAGAAAAATGTTTTCTGTAGACAATGCCGAAAACAAGTCCCAACTCCCGACGAAAGGTTTGAGCACAGCGAACCTTTTTCACCTTTTCTAACAGCGCTGCAGTATGAAGCGTGTTAAACTTGGTGCTGCTTCTTCCCTGAGACAAACTACAGTACGAACCTATTTTACTTGTGATGTGCCTTATGACAGGTGACGGGAATAAAACAGAGGCTTATCACATCGCTAAAGACACGGTCCTTAGCGGCTATAGTTTACAGTAGAATAAGTCAAATATATATTTTAGATGCATTATAATCGTTCTGTCTCTAACCCTGATCATAAGCAACAAGCATCTTCTAACTCCTCCCACAGAGCAGAGATGCTGACCATGAGCCTGACGCGGAACGTCCTGAAGCTCATGGAGCTCCTGGGTCTCATGACGCTCGACTCGGACCTGTACGAGTACCTCAGATAGCCCCTGAACGCAGCGCTGTGCAGGAACAGGAAGAGGAACGGCTCAGCAGCTGGTCCAAGCTGCTGGTTCTGCTCATCACACTCAGTGTCTTGACCAGTGAGAACGGGCAGAACCACAGGACTGAAGGCACCAAGACGATTCACAGCCGGTTATTTTCAGAACATTTCCCTCTTTGTATTTTTCACAAAGTACCAGTAGTTTGGCTGTCCGTGGCCTCAGATTGGAAGGTTTAGAAGCTGAAACTTTATTTTATGTACGCTGAGCAGTTCTAAAGGATCCACTATGCCAAATGTTTTATTTGAAGTTAATAAAATATTCTTCCTCATCAGCTCTCACATGTTTTTACTGATGATCAGATGAAGTTTTACATGTTGGGAAATGTTCCTTTAAATGCTCAAGCTGGAGTATAACTGTTACTTTTGTTCTAGGATTTTGCTTTTGAAAACTTTTTTTCTGGATGTAAATCACTTTGGGGGGGTGAGTATTTCCTCTGGAATCAGATGTTGTGCAGCTGGATGGATTTTTATTAAAAACATTTAACTTTTGGACATTTATGATGCAACAATGTGGTTTTTACAGCTGGGAACAGCTGATTAACATCTCAGAGCTCAAATATTACTTCAAATACAGCCCCAAATTCCAAATGAGTTGTGAAGGAGGCGCCGTGGATGCATCTCTGTCTACCTGCCGGTGGTGCTCAAGTGCCTGATCACAGATCCTGGAGCTGGTGGGAAATGCGGCTTGTGACAGTAGGAGGACCAGGATCATCCCTCGACACCTGCAGTTCCATCCGTGGCGACGAGGAGCTTGGCAGGCTGCTGGGAGGAGTGGCCATCGCTCGGGGAGGAGTTCTGGCCGGCATTCAGGCAGTCCTGCTGCTCAAGAAGACCAAGAGACCTGAGTCCAAGTGGACGGATCAGCATCTGCAGTCAGTTTCTTCAGATCCGCTGCGGGATGGACCACCACAAGAGATCCTTCCTGCTCACAACCATCAGCATCTATAACTAATGAAACCAGGAGGATGAGCTACATTTAATTTCCCTTTGGGATAAATAAAGTATTTTTGAATTAAATCTTTATTTAGAACTAACTATTTGAACACACAGCCACAAAAATACTTCAGTTCCTCTGCCTTGTTGACATGTAGTTAATAATGAACAAAAAGTTATTAGTCCCGTTTGTCCTGCACTGCAGACCAGAACATGGTCGACACGTTCATGTTCTCAGCTGCTGCTTGTGCTAAAATTAAAACAACTCATGATAACTGGCAAGTAGAAAGATAAAACTTTTATCTACCACAATTGTGGCAGAAATTCCCCTTTGACCTGCTCTACATTCATCACATACAAGAACCAATAGAACATAACAAAAACCACATTATCACCATTAGTTACCACCATTAAGATGATTCTACTTAGCTTTCTTTAAGAACATTGCTGCAGAAGGTACAAATGATTTCTTATAAATATTATTCCTGACCAGTGGGACTCAGTAACATCTGTTTGATGGAAACATCTGGAAGCAGTTGTGTAGTGGATGTGAGGGGTCCTCGGTGATCAGGGTGGCTTTCTTGGTCACTGAGCAGCTGTAGAAGTCTTGACAGGGGAGACTGAGGTGATCCAGTTATTGCACTTGACTGTTTAACTATTCGCTGTGATTTAGCTTTCTGTTTTCCATTGATGAGGTTGAACCAGGATGAAATGATAA